ATATATGTGTATAGATAAGCAAATTCTCACTGTGTGTGCATGTGTGTGTGCACGACCTCTCATTCACCTAAGCACATGTCTCTTGTATATTGCTCTATTATTTAAATAAGGGAAAATGGAAATTCAAATTGTGGATTTCATTAAGCATATAGAAATTTCTTTGGGTACCTAACATAAAATCTTACAGGTATTTGGGTATGTCTCTGAGCATCCTTAAAAAAGATTTGAGTTAAATAGGAGCTCTCTACTGCTCTTGGTATATGCAGTATCTTATAAACATAGCTTTACTTCTTCTACAAAGCAGCTGAACACATTTCCTTGTTATATCTGCTTTGTACATCCTTCACCTAAGTTGAGTAGAGGAGAGGAAGGCAGTGACAACTTTATTCTTCCACTTCATCTGTGGCAATTGGTACTTTAGGGTAGCATCTCCAAGAAAAGAAATCTAGGATCCATGAATTTTGTAATCCTAGCAGATGTTCCAACAAAATGACATGAGAACCCAAACTATCTCCACAAAGGTTACTCAATTGAAAGGTAAAAATGGAATTTATTGAAAGTCATTATCAACTTGACTTAGATTTCTTTTAGTAATTGAAAGAACAAGCGGTGTTTGACCCGATCTGTCCCTTGTAGAGCTTTAAAAATTGTTAAGAGTATATGTGCATATTCATTTTTGCTTCTGTTGGTACAAGAAACAAAACTTTCCCAATTGTTGCTGGACTTCAAGTTTTTCTCATAAATACGGTTTTTGAAAGGTATTAAATTATCAAAGTGTCAGAGGGCAGAACATTTTGGAGACAGAGGAAAGGAACAAAAAGCACCCACAATAGTGGTACTTCAACATAATACTTCTGTTAGAGATGTTGTTTCTTCCCATTTCTCTACAGCTGTCATTCATGTCAGCACATAAGTTTTTAACTTTCCTTAACAGTTAACCTTCTGTGTTGTCACTGTCTCCCATAAATGTTTATCAATGTTGTTTTAGCAGCTATATAGTATTGTACCAAGAAGGGTGCATTAGGACTCGGTTACTGCTTCCACACAAGAACCAATTCTTACCTTCTCCTCTTTGTTGCTCTCTCTCTCTCTCTCTCTCTCTCTCTCTCTCTCTCTCTCTCTGTTGAATATTTGGGTTTTCCTATTAGGGCCAAAGAAGGTGACACTAAATGAAAAGCCAAATTTTTTAGACTGTGTAGCCTTATCTTATTCTACACTCTCTAGTTTATGCCCATTGGGTGACAATACTAATGATGGTCCACTATCTACACTCAAACACTTGTCTCAAAGGAAAAAAAAAGCACACAAGATGTGTTTTTATGAATTATATATCACATATATTTTATGTATATGAAAAAATTCCATTACTTGTGGTTCTATTAAATTAGTGGAGTAGATCAATTGAGCCTGTTTAAGAAGTGATAGATATTCTTAGTTTAGGAACTGAAACAGTACAAAATTACTATTTTAAAGGTAGATAAGTTATGGTGGTGAAATTGTTGTGATCTTGAGTTCTACTCCACTTGTCATTTGCTCCTTTTCATGGGTATAGTAGCTTTGCTTACTATATGTTTAGACTTGAACCCTTCTTTCCATTTCCGGGGGGTTCCACTATATACATTATATAGGCTTATAAGTCCCAGTCCTCCTATTGGGATGCTGTAATTACAGGTGTATGCAGCCGCTCACACAGTTTGCCATCTTCTTCAGGAAGTTAGGGAATAGTTTTCTCTCTCAAGTCTCTGAACTAATTTAGATGTCAACCTTTGGCTTTGTATATGTAACTGAAAAATACTGACGTTAGCAAGCTCATCTAATGAAAAAAAACTGACTCCATTGATATGACAAAAATAGATAATATTTGTTAAGGATATTTCTCTGCAGAATTTCTTAGTTTTCTGAAATAAAGAACATATCTGAATTTTCTACTAGTCATAATAGTTATAATCACATTCTGATATGTTTGTAAAAGATATGTCCTGTTGGCCCAGATATATCCCTATGGCCCAGAGATGTCTTAGGATTGTGAGCTAAAATTAATTTCTAAAACATGCTTTTTAATCTTGTTTTAGGCTAAAAGAACATCTATCTTACAATAGAACCAATTCTAGTGTTTGTATTATGGAACATTTCTGACATTGGTACATTATGTAAAATATGCTAAGGATTAATCTTCAACAGATATTACCACTTTATACATGTATACACATATCTTACTTTATTATTATTTTAGAGAGATGGGGATAGTCCTATTGTGTTGCCCTGGTTGGCCTTATAGTTCTAGGCTCAAGTAATCCTTTGGCTTGAGCATTCTAGGTACATGGATGAAAGGTGTGTTCCACTGTCTGGCATATACACAAATGTTCAATCAAAATATAGGTGCATTTTAAGTTCTCTGTATAATGTTTTCTGATTTAATTTCCTTTTTTCATGTATAGCTCCTTCAAAATATAAAAATTATCTTGAATTTAGTTTTTTTTTATACAAGCTTTTGCTACATAAGCGTGTGCATAAAGACACACTGAGAAGTGTCTTTAGTATACATTTTTAATTTAATTTTTACATGAAATACATTTCAATCATGATACAATATATTTCAGTTCCCCATCTCCTCCCACAACCTTCCCACCTTCTGGTATTTTCCCATGAAAACCTTAAATTCTCTCATACGTATGACTTGCATTATTCACCTTGGTTTTGAGACGATTTCACATTCATGCCCACAGAGCATTCATTTAGCCTTCTGTATTGCTTCCAATTATGCAACCATGCTGTGCTTTCTTTATCAACCCTGCCTCCCCTGCCTAAGTAGTTTCAAGAAGGGACAATTTAAAGCCACTGCCTTCATTTTTTTTTTTTTTGGCCAAGCAGAACGACACTTTTGTCAGTAATCCATATTTTCATTCCCATTGTTCTCAGTGTGTTTTGTCCCTGGCTTAATAGTTTTGCCTCTCCCTCTGAGAATTGAATATTGTTAGCATGATTCATTAAGATTTATTTATTCTAAGACACAATGTTTGGAATCAGCTAAATGTGACTAGATATTGGCCAACAACCATCTTCCATGTTAAAGTGCTCACCATCATATTGAATACGTACATTTATGTTTATAATCCAATGCTTGTGAGTTTCATACATGATCACTCGCTGTTGGTTTCGATTCAGCAGTCAAGAGCATTTGCTGTTCTTGCAGATGACCTGGGTTTGGTTTCCAGCACCCACATTGGGTGAATCATAACTGCCTGTAACTCCAGTCCCAAGGGATCTGGAGCCCTCTGCTGCCTTTGTGGGATCTGCATACATGTGGTGCACACATAGACCTACACACTCCCAGGCACACACAATACATACAAAAAGTAATAAAGAATGTGGTTTAAAGTTATCAAAAGACTAATAGCTACTAAGAAATTACATTTGGGTTTTAAATTCAGTTAAGTTTTTTTTTAATTGAGTAACTTTAGAATGTTTCCTTTTCAGTCTTTTTAAAGAATTGGAATTGTGCTGGTGTTTAGTCAGCATTGTGTCCAGTTAAAGATGAGGCTCCCAACTGATGACCACACAATAGACATATGGTCAGCAGTTATTGAACTTAGTGGGTTAAAAAAAGAATAAATGAAGTTGGGAGGAAGATGGAAAATATGTCAAAGTAATTGAGCGAACTTAAGGGAGGAAGTAGTGGATAGATATGACCAAGGTACATTATATAAATTATAAGATTTTTTTGAAAAAATATACATTTGCACTTCAATGTCCTTTTGTGAATTCAGCCTTCTCCTTATGTCCTTAGCACTGCACAATAGGTCGTCAGTAGAAGGACAGTGTATTAGTAAAAGGGTCTAGAGAGGACCATGTTAAGGATTTGGTTAAGCCAAACCTGATGTGCTTTCTTTTATTGAAATGTGGGAAGAACAAACATAGAAGGAAAAGAGGGGAGAGAAATAAGTATTGGTAGTAAGATGAGAAAATATGATCAAAATACCTTATATACGTGTAAGATAATGCCAGTGAATCCTACTCTTTTGTGCAATTATAATAGCCCAGTAAAAAAAAATAATGAGCACTTTTAAAAAAAAGAATTTACTCTTGGTTGTTTACTTACTCATATGTTTTTCTTATTAATGGAATTACATATCTCTTTTACATTTCAACTTCTTATGCCAGTAAGAGATTTCAGAAGTCAAGTTTTCAAGACCACTACAAACTCTTGCTTTTATTGTAATACAAGCATCACTATTATACGTGGGTGAAGCAGCGCCAGCTTCAGATGCAATGCAGTAGAAAGGAACTAGATAACCCATTATCTTGCAGACAACATTGTTGTGAGTCCTTAATTTCCTGTAGTTCCATGCAGTCTATAATCTGTGATTTGCCTCTGTAATTTTGGTTTTTAGCAATTAGAGCCTTTTTTCATGTTAATAGATAAATCTTGATAATAATTAAATTATTTGGGTGACTCCATTGTACTCAGGGCAGAAAATAGGTCTGTAAATTACTTCCATTTTTCCTTTATGAACAAATGCCAATTACCGTAAATTGGATTTTAGCATTTGACTAAATCATCATCTATAAGCTAAATGAGGTTTCAGATGAATACCCAGAATGTGATTAGAAGAATCTCATGTGACAAATAAATAAAGCACACATTTTAGAAAGGATCAAGAACTCGTGAGCCACGAAATTTCAGCTCTAAGATGATATGTTTAGCAAAGGGTAAAGTGGGATTTTCAATTATAAAGTAAACAGAACACAGTAAACAACTGAAGCTTCTCTTGTTTTCTTCCCTGTGATCCAGAAATGACCATATTGATTTTTGAGCTTTTTATGTTAAAAGAAAATTACTGAGATTAAATTTCATGGCTTTGTGAGCCCTGAGTTATGGCTGAGTGATGTTCTGAGGGCCCTAGCTTCTCTTCTCATTGCTCCTCGGTGGGCTGAAGTCTATTTTTAAATCGTCTCTTATCTGCATTTTGAACAATAATGATGTGGTTTGTTTTATGCAGATGAAATTTTCAGAATCGGACTACTTTGGCAATGTGCTGCAAACCCGCAAATATTTAGCCCAGTCTGATTTCTACTGGCTCAGAAAAGCTGTTCCCAAAACAGAGTGAGTATTTCAAAAAAGTGAAATTGATAAATACATTGGTGGGAAGTGGAATCTCTTTACATTAAACTCTGTAATTCTCCTCAACTCAGAGTAGCCAGCTTGACAGTTATTTTGTTTTAGCAAAATTTGTGTCATGGATTTCCAGTTCTCTTTTCTAATATTACACGGTACAGATCTTTCATCTATTACAGACCTCCCAGTCTCAGCATCAACACATATCAGAATTCTCATTAGGAGGCAAACATTGAAGCTCTTTCTAGCTGTAGTTATAAATACGTATATAGATAATATTTCTACATACATTTCTCTGCATTTTCATATGCAGGCAGAAACGTTTGAAGAGCTTGAAGAACAAACACTTTAGTATGATTAGAAATGTAGAAGAGTTTGTATAATTAAGAAGCAACTGGAATAGTGGTTCTTAAGCTGTGGGTCACAACCCCCAGGGGTCTAATGACTCTTCACAGGGGTCATCTAAGACTATCAGAAAACACAGATATTTACATTATGATTAGTAACAGTAGCAATATTACAGTTATGAGGTAGCAAGGAATAGAGTTATGGCTGGGGGTTACTGTTTTATAGGGTTGCAACAACAGGAAGGTTGAGAAACTGAACTAAAAGATGCTCACTCACTGAGGTAGTCCATGTCAGAGAACTGAAAACTAACTATCATTTTGATCCAGTAACAGTTATGAATTATTTATCTTTTTCCTATCAGCAGATAAGAAAATATCCTTACAAACTTTTCAACCCATGTTAAGCTAGCCACTGCATCTTCCTTTAGGAAAGAAAACATTGTTGATCTTAATAGTGTTGATGATGGTGAAAGCTGGTGACAGTTGCTGTGCATTTACATTATTATAAGAGGTGCTTTTGAATTTATGTGTGTATCTGCATGGTATGTGTGTGTGTGCGCGCTTGTGTGTGTGTATGTGTGTTTAGCATTTGTGCTTATGCATATTCCCAAGGAGACCAGAGAAGGACATCAGAGAGCTTCCTCTACCATTACCCACCTTAGTTTTTTTAAATTTTTTTTATTATTATTATTAAAAATTTCTGCCTCCTCCCCGCCTCCGCCTCCCACTCCTCTCCCCTTCCCCCCACTCCTCTCCCCCTCCCTCTCAAGTCCAAAGAGCAGTCAGGGTTCCCTGCCCTGTGGGAAGTCCAAGGTCCTCCCCCTTCCATCCAGGTCTAGGAAGGTGAGCACCCAAACCCACCTTAGTTTTTGAGACATGTCTTTCATTGAATTTACCACTATTTCTTTAGCAGCTGGCTGGCTAGCTGGTAAGCTTCTGGGACCCACCTGTTTGCCCCTCCCCAATGGTGGGTTGCCGGCATGTGTGGCCTGACTTTCATGCTGGTGCTAGGGATCTGAATTCGGGCCATGCATCTTTAATAAGAAGTGCTCTGACCCGTTGACCATCTCCCCACTATATGCTTTACAGTTCTTAATTGATTTCATCATGCCAGTTCTGGGAGGTATAGATACTCTATCCTTATTTTACAAAACTTTTGCTGTAGTTCACTTTTCCAGTGTTTCAAAAATGTTATTTAGATCAGACAATTTCTATTTTTATGCTCTCAACTGCAGTTTATTTTAAAAATCATTTTCTATTTCTGTTATTTATTTGTAGTCATTGTTACCATCTTACTATTAATTCTTTGAATATAGCTTAATTCTCTGAAGCACATTCTAATGGCCACTTTCAAATCCTTCCTAAATCTATTATCTGAATTAACTAAGAGTAATTTTCTAATGATTCATCCTCGTCCCATTTTTCTTTCCTGTAGTTTTTTTTTTGTTGTTGTTGAAAAAGGACATTTTAGATAATATAATGTATCAAGTTTGGATGATAATTTACTTTTCTGAGATTTTTCCTGTATATTTGCTGTAGACACTGTGGAATGTGTCTCTCTGGACATATATGACTGTATATTCCTGTGTCTAGGCTTCAGCCCTTTATTTTATTTTTTAGATTTACTTATTGGTGATTATCCCAATGCATACAAGCTCATGCGCAGACAAGAGACAGGGCAGACCTAGTGCTCCAGCCTTTGAGTAGTTCAAGTGCTTTCAAAGTCAGGCATATCTCTGGCTTCCTTGGGGTTTGCTTTCTAACAACAGGCTTTCTGTGGTCTCCCACACTCCAGACCTAGTATTGTTATCATCATGGTTCATTTCCCAGTTTCAGGATCTCCTCTTTGAAATTTCTGACTGGATTTTCCTTCTTCTTCTTCTTCTTCTTCTTCTTCTTCTTCTTCTTCTTCTTCTCCTTCTCCTTCTCCTTCTCCTTCTCCTTCTCCTTCTCCTTCTTCTTCTTCTTCTTCTTCTTCTTCTTCTTCTTCTTCTGCTTCTTCTTCTTTTTCTGTATAAAGCTTGCCATATTTTAGCTGAGAGAGCTGCATTTTCAGCTGGCCCTTTCTTGGAGAAAGTGAATTTCCTATTGCACAGGGAGGGAGGGTCAGGAGTAGTCCCAGGAACATGCCCACCTAACTCTGCTCTATTTATTCCCCAGTTCTAGCAGTCTCTTCAGATTGAAGGTTTTTCAGTTTATTGCTCATTTTTTGGCTAATTGTCAGAGACCTAAATTGGATGCTTGTTGACTATTGTGTCCAGTTTTTTTTTTTTGCTTGACTCCTTTGAAAAGGAATTTTCAGCTTTATTTGTGCTATCATCCCCCAAAAGCTGAGTCGGTGGGCTAGCTTTTTTTATTTTATTTTATTTTTTATTTTATTTTTTTCCCTCCGGAATTTTCTTTTTCTTTCTTTTTTTTTATTGCGAAAAGAAGAAGAAAAAAATATCATAAACAAAAAAACAAGTTTCCACCTACTCCCAGCCTCCCATTTCCCTTCCCCTTCTCCCACCCTTCTCCCCCTCCTCCCACCCTTCTCCCCCTCCTCCCACCCTTCTACCCCTCCCCCCACTCCTCTCCCCCTCCCTCTCCAGTCCACAGAGCAGTCCGGGTTCCCTGCCCTGTGTTAAGTCCTAGGTCCTCCCCCTCCGTCCATATCTAGGAAGGTGAACATCCAAACTGGCTAGGCTCCCACAAAGCCAGCACATTAAGTAGGATCAAAACCCCCTGCCATTGTCCTTGGTGTCTCATCAGCCCTCATTGTTCGCCATGTTCAGAGAGTCCGGTTTTATCCCATGCTTTTTCGGTCACAGTCCAGCTGGCCTTGGTGAGCTCCCCGTAGATCAGCTCCACTGTCTCAGTGGGTGGATGCACGCCTCGTGGTCCCGAATTCTTTGCTCATGTTCTCCCTCCTTCTGCTCCTCCTTGGGACCTTGGGAGCTCAGTCCAGTGCTCCAGTGTGGGTCCCTGTCTCTATCTCTATCCATCACCAGATGAAGATTCTAGGGCTAGCTTTAAAAATTTGTCAATAGCCTAGTTTCCATGATTTCAGTGGGATTTTTTTTAAGATTTACTTATTATTATATATACAACATTTTGCCGGCCTGGATGCCCATACGCCAGAAGAGGGTGCAGATCTCATTACAGATGGTTGTGAGCCACCATATGGTTACTGGGAATTGAACTCTGGACCTCTGGAAGAGCAGCTGGTGCTCTTAACCACAGAGCCATCTCTCTAGGCCTGTCAGTAAGATTCTTTATACCATCTTGGACTCTTTGTTTCTGTTCAACACCCTTCTTTCTTCTGGTTTCCAGAAACACTAGACCCTTGTATCCTTTCTTCCTTCAAGCTGTGGATATCACCATCTCCTTTTGATGTTCTTATATGCCCAGTCTTGACTCTGTCTGGCAGACTTCCATGGAATACAGATGTACAATTGTTTTTTCAGTTGTTAACTTTAAGGAGGAAGCCTAAAGCTTAACCAGTCCTTTATGTATTCCTGACTTTAGTCAAAAGTACAAAGGAAAATGACAGCTGGTTTTACAACTCCTTGCTAATCGCAGATGATAATCTATAACCAATTACTCCACTGTCCTTGGCTCTCACTCTTCTCATACTAATTTTCAGCTTGTCTATTCCATTCCATTCTCAATCTAAATTATTCATAAGCATTCTAGATTTAAGGCTGTAAAATCTGATGACTCAAAGCTGGTGACTTCAGCAAAGAATTTTCAATATCTCTATGACTATCTTCATGTAGTAGCATAATCATAGGTCTAGGCAAGTCATCCTGACCTTTTAAATCTAATTAATAACTGTTCAAACTTTTAAAAAAATTTTTATATTTGAAATTATAATATAATTACATCATTTTCCCACTCCAAGTCCTACCACATTCCTGCCCTTGTTCTCTTTAAAATTCCTGCTCTCTTTTTCATGAATTGTTGTTACATACATACATGTATACGAATATACATCTATATTCTTGAATATAACCTACTCACTTTGTATATTACTTGTATGGATGTTTTCAGGGCTGACCGTTTGGTATTGAATAACCAATTGGTGTGCTCTCCTCTGGGAAAGACTTATTTCTGCCTAAAACTGTTATCATTCCTTAGCTGCCTATAGTTATTTGTGCAGGTTGAGGCCTCATGGTCTTTTCCCCTTTCACCTTGGCATGTTTGGTGTCGTCCTGGTTCAGGCCATGTTCAGGTCATGTTTAGGCAGTCGTGTTGATGAGATTTTAGTTTCTGTAATAGGAGGCACAGACTTACAGCAAACTACCCAATCCATGTTCAGGTCATGTTTAGGCAGTCGTGTTGATGAGATTTTAGTTTCTGTACTAGGAGGCACAGACTTACAGCAAACTACCCAATCCCCTCGTTCCCATAATCTTTCTGTCTCCTCTTCTGCAGTGTTCCCTGAGCTCAGGTGTAGGAAGCATGTCATAGATGTATACATTGTGATTGGGTTCCACAACTCTGCATTTTGATTGGTTCTGATTTTCTGTAGTGTTCTTCATCTTTTACAAAGTTTTCTTGATGAAAAAGGGATAAAGACTATACTTATTTTGATGTATGAAACCAATTAGTTCTGAAGTTTCTTTGTTTATTTTTCTTCAGATGACTTACTTATTGTTC